TCAGACACGGGTGGCTTGAAAGGGTTTTTTTTTTTTTTGCAAAAGAGAAAAAAAATTTAAAAATGAAAAATTATAATTTATATAGTGGTAATTTTTAAAATTAATGAAAGGTAACATTGTCCTTTTAATATTACCATGTCATCATACTAATGGAAACATTAATGGTTGACTAACAGTTGGACTTATGTATCTAATGGAAGATATTCTTTTAGGACGGATTATCTATTTCAAAAACTGATGGACCCACATAGAATTATAGCTAAAAGTTAGGGAGGTCAAGGTATTTTACTCTTTTCTTTTTCATACGTCAACTCCAACATCTCAGTTATTCCTCAATCCTTTAGATATTTATAACCTTATGTTTAGGATAAACCACATACTAAATGATTGAAAATATATTACCCAAATCCAAAAGAATAGTTGCATCTAATAGGGAAATTAATCATACCTCTAAAGCAAACTGATGTTGTGCAACATCAGTCTTGTTGAATGCTAATACAAGAGGCAACCGTGTCTTGTAAAGGATGCTACAAGCATAAAGCATGTTGCTCATAAAGGTAACTGGACTTGCCGAACGAGGTGTATCCATTACATAAGTGACTACAGTAGGGAAAGTTGAAGCAAATGCTTCTGTAATGATAGCTCCTGAAGCAGACCAAGTAAATATCTCAATCTGCCCAGGAGTATCCACAAGAACATAGTCAAGTTGATCTGCTCGCCTCTCAATTACTGAAATAACCTGAGATTGGATTTTTGCAGAGTCATTCGCATGAAATTACAAATGAAAAGTTTCAAGAGCACCAAAATGTAAGAATATAACAAGCATGTCAATTGAGAGAATAAAGAAGATAAAAGCAACTACAACTCTGGATGCACATGAAAGCACCATTATAGATTAGGGGTAAAATTTAAGAAGCATAAACTATGAGCCAAGGCCAGCCATTTGCCAGTTTCAACATTTTGGATCTAACGAGGTTACTTTAGGACACAATTCATAGGGAAAGCTCTTCAGAGCACTAAAAAGCTTAGCATTGCTATGACAAATTTTTTTTGGAACCAAATGCAGAAAATTCAGAAGACTTACCTCATCAAACTTGGTGGCAAACAAGTTGAGAGATGTAAGGATTCCTCCATTAGGTCCAAGATTGAACTGCTTCATCACTTCTTTGTATTTAACCGTGTCTCGTATATCAATGTTAGCACCAAATGGAATGGTCATTACAGCAGGGTCAAGGTTCATCACATAACCCCTAATATTCGAAGCTTGAGTGTGGCAAACCAGCCTATGAAGGAATGTTGTCTTCCCACTCCCTAATCAAATCAAACAGCATATTACAACATTCAAGTTCACCAAAAAAAAAAACTTACTAATAACTTGAGTTTCAATTAGAGCGCTAATATGCTACATATAAACAACCATTAAAACCACCCAATTTGGGTTTCCTGGATTACCTGCCATCCCAACAACAATAATAATAACTGGTTTTCTCTTGAAACCGCTTGAAGGTGACTCAATGTTTAATCTGTCCATAGAATCAGCAAGCTTTTCTTTTTCATCACTGTCTCCCTACATATTGAAATCCAGTAACCGAATAGTAATTACAGGAACAACCCAACAAGAAAAAATGATAAATCTTCTTTGGTCCTTTCAAATGCTTAAACTGAAATCAGTTATACAAGGAAGACTTCCCTAGGTACCTTTGTTTCCAAGGATTCCTGGGAATCCATTTGCATTGAAGTGCCTTCCTCTGGGACTTTAACATTTGATTTTTCCAACTCAGAATCAATTTCCATCTTCAATGAAACGTTAGTTCTGGAAAAAAAAAACGAAAACCCAGAAAAAGTTTACGAGTATTACGTTCAGAACAAGAAAAAAGAGAAAGAAATGGGAAGATAAAGACAAACCCAAAAAAGAAGAAGGTTGAAAAAAAAGAAGCAATTGTATAAAAGTGATGAAAACGAACCTCTTTACTGGTGCTTCAAAAACTTTGAAGTTCGAGGGTTTCCTGTTTGTGAGGGAAAAACATTGAAAGAACTGAGGGTTTTACCCTTTTTAGTTGTTTTTTTTTTTCCCCTATATAGAGAAAATGGTTGAAAGGCTGGAATCAGGCCTAGGATATTTTCATGGGCTTTGGATAGGGCCCGCGCAAAGAAATTTTGGTGTTCGAGGCCCAGAAAGAATTGATGGCCAACCCAAAACGTTTAGAATGACAAATTTGGAGAGACATTTGAGCTTTTAATTGAAAATTTAACTTTTTGAATAGACACCACATCTATCATGCCAATCCTTTCAAAGAAATAAGCAAGCTGTTTTATAATCACATCCAACAAGTATTTTGGATAGCTTAAAAGCCAGAAGATTAATTTTTTAAAATAAAATTATTATTTTATTATAAAATAATATTCAAATAAATTCAATTTAAATTTTAATCATGTCAAGCACTTTCAAAATTGAGACAAATAAGACGAGCCACAATATGATTAGATAGATAAAAAAAATTTAAAAATTTATACATATAGATATTATACATCTTCTGAGATTAACCTTTTGAACACTTAATTTAATATTTTGATGTAAAAAATAATTTTCTCATTTCTCTCGTGCATGATATAAATCTCATCTTTCGTATGGACTATTGGTTCATATAATTTGAAGAAGATAAATTTATTCTAATAATTATACGAAAACTCCTTTCCTAAATATATTCCTACTTAAATTAATTTTATGTATTTTATTAAAAAAAAAAAAACATTGCAATTCAAATCTAAGTCTATCATAGTTCTAGCCTAAGTTACATCAGCTCATATGAAACCTATGAGCTTTTGAAGTGAATTTAAAACAGAAATAAGAAAAACCTGAAAAAAAAAATAGAAGAAGAACACCAAAGATCGCCACTCTCACATTTCTTTTCATCCTTACCTTAAACATTAGAAGAAAAAATCCATTAACAATTTAAGACACACAAATTAATGTTTCAAACAATTGAATTAATTTAGATTTGATTAATTAAACGTATAATCACACCCATTAATTAATTTAACAGTACAATAATAAGTTCATGACATCATATATAGAATACAAATTTTCTGTAATGATTTCTTTACCGTGATAAACTGTAATTAAATTCAACTTGAAAAGACTTCTGTTTTAGGTATTGTTCCTTAAGTGCATTTGTTTTAATGCTTTATTTGCTCTAAAAGATGAATTGGAGCAATTAAATTTCGAAACTAATTAAAGATAGAATATTAGAATTTAGATATAATTACTTAACATATAATTTAGGATTTAGAGTTTAGGGTTTAAGGTTTAAGTCGTGCTTATATGAATAAATAAAAGAAAAATACTAGAATTAGGCATCTTAATCCAATTATTTTTAATTAAACTTAATTATGGATCTTAATTATGCATGTTTAATCCAATAATTAAGCACCCCTTAATTATATTTTTAAAATTTTGTAATTTCCTAGGTTATTATTGCTTGATTTTTTCTTCAAATCGTATAATAGTGTGGACTTTGATTTGTCCTCGAAAACTAGATGGGTAGGTGAAGATTTAGAGTACATTTGATTCACATAATAAAATAGAGGGGAACTAAAATTGTTATATTGTAGGAATAAAATAAAGAAATAATAACTATTATATAGTTTAGTTCATCAGAATGAAATAAGATGGAAATTATTATTATGATTTATTTTATTGATTGGTTGACAAGAATAATTTTAGAAATAATTAAGGAATAAGTCGTATATGATCAAATGTATTTTTAATATTATTTTGTAAGATAACTTTTTAAATTGTAAAAAAGTATTTTTGTCTAATTAATTTAATTCTTGTTCCCAACATTTCGGAATAGCCATTATCAAAAGGGGTTTTGGTAATGGCTATTCAAAGTTCTCTTAAAATGATTATTCCGAGTAATAGTCATTTCATTAAACTAAATATAACTTTATTTCATGAATGAAAATAAAAAAAAAATGACTATTCCATTTATCTCAATCAAATGTGGATTTTGATTTGTCCTTGAAAGCTAGATGAGTAGACAAAGACATAAAGTGTAAAACGTCCATGAATTGATTAAACATTATAAAGATAGAGGCAAAGTGAACCAAAATTATTCCTACCACGTCTTTTATGCATTACTTTTTTGAGGGTAATTTCGTTTGTCGATAATGTAATATAATGTATTGTATGATGAGACACTATAATAGTTCATCATTTGCAATTTGGTATTAAAATATTAATACTTTTACTTTTAGTGTCTAGCATCTTCGTACCATTTATTTTTAATTTAGCTGAATTTAGAAATGAATTAATCGTGGAAAATATGTATAATATGCACACAAACTGTTCGATAAAAAAACAATTCTATTGAAAACATTATTTATTTGTGAATTTAAGATTAAATTTGTCACTCTATTATGATTCAATATAGAATTTTATCACTATATTATAATTTTATTATATGTTACCACTCTACTTTCAATTTTATTAATTTTGAACAAAACGTAGTGGAATATTTTGTTAACGCATTTTGTTACTATCCTTTTAATTTTATTGATTTTTGGATAAAAAATAATAAAATTCAGAAATTAATATATAGTTAATAAGTGACAAATTTCTATTATTTTGATTGTTTTTATCCAAAAAAAATTTAATATATAGTGTCAAAATTCAATGAAATCAAACATACAATAGTAAATTTTAACATTGACTCAAATAAAAATCTGACCTTAATCCCCCTTTATTTGTTTAGAGTTCATCACTAAAGTTTACATTCTATATGTCGCAAAATTGAACATAAAAACAAATACAATTGATAAATTACTATTTAGTATAAAAACCAGTAGTTTTTTTTTTTTTTTGCTTTTCATTTTGAGAGACGAAAATAATTATAGCAAACATCCAAATGATGGGACAATCAAAATTATTGGGTAAAATCATGCATCGATTTTTCATTTTATTGTCTTATATAGTCTCAGTATATATAGTAGTTGCCATATTATAATATTAGCAAACAACATGCTTTACAAGTTAATGCATAAAAAAATGATGGTGGGTTTTCTTTTTCGTCATGATCCGTAAATCGGAAACAAAACGGGAACGTTTCTCTCTCGGTTCGGCAGCAGATTCCACGTGATATTAATTCCACCTTTATTAATTTCCATTTATGTTTCGGTCGTTGAGAGTGGGAATTTCATTTCCAGATTTCTCTTTCTATTGGCTGATCTTTTCCTCTCTACTCTATAAAGCTTCCTATCCAGCAGCTGTCAACCAATCAAACCCAACCGCAAATTTCATTTTACCAGTTCCCCAAGTTCCACTTGTGTTCATTCTCTGGATATTTTCCAACGACAAGAACAAAGATGCATCATGGTAAGCTTAGCTAATTAATTATTCTCTCTTTCCGATAGTGAAGTTTCCTGGTTTTGTAACATTCTGTTAGATTATCTGTAGAGCTTGGCCATGGCAAAGTCATCATCACCAGCATCATTGCAGCCTCTGTCATCGGAGCCATCGCAGCAGCGGCCACCGCAAGTTACCGCCGGCGAAAGAGCAAACCTGTTAAAGATCAAAATATCATTCCACTGCTAGAGAGGACAGAGTCAGGCCGTGTTGGAAGCCTGGAAAGATTCTCCCATTTTGTTGGTATATACTATATATTTAGCTTTGGTTTCCCAACTTTATGTTGGTTGCTTTGCTGATATAAAACAGATTAACCCTTTCGGTTTCTTTTCCACAGCAAGGTCTAAAGAAATGATTTGTCTTTTGATTTTGGGCTGCAGCTAGGCAACTGGGATTTGCAGATGCAAACGAGTGTCCGCAGCTGTGCAGGTTGGCTCATAACTATCTGAAAAAACCCAAAGATTGTGAGGTTAGCATCTTCGAATATTTTGCTAATGAACCAGAAGCTGAGACTTTGTACGTCAAGCTGATGGAGGAGTTTGAGAGATGCATCCTCAGTTATTTTGCCTTCCATTGGAGCCAAGCTTCTCATATGATCAGCCAGGTATGAACCCAAATTTTTTGTGGAACAAATTAATCCCAAGACTTAATCTTCATCTGACAATTGATTAATTAACGATTTAATTAATTTGAATTGCAGCTTCTAAGCGTAGAATCTGAGAAGAAAACAAAGCTAAAGGACTTTGTAATGGCAGCAACAAGGTTGGTTATCAATTTCATTGCCATTAGCCTTCAACTATATATTTTAATTAATATTACTGTCTTTAAATAATATTTCTTGTAATTATTACTTGCTGCTTTATCATCTCTAAAATAACATCGCACCGAACCAAATTGAAATTAAATATTCCCTACGCTATCTCCGTTGTCCTTTTGTCCCCCTCCTTCAAATCGTATTAGAATATAATATTATTATTTAGTATATTATATTTATATGAGAGAGGACCGCTAATTTGTTTTTCTTTTTTCACTAGTCAAACCCACTAGCCACGCAAGGGGCCGGGTATTAAATTACTACAATAATATGACAATAATTTATTTTTTTAAATCTTTGGGCCAACAACTTGTGATATTAATAATCATAAGGATATGGAGTATAATTAACTAGTTAGTGATAAATTAGTGCGTTAGTAAAGAACTAACCAAATGTAGTTAGGTATCATAACGACATCTGATTATTCTTGTGGGTTAGATATTTTAAGTTAAAAATTGAAAAAAATTGTGAAAGATAATTTTTTTCATAAGTTCAATTTTAAAATATTATTTATTATAATTTTAATTATTTTTAGTAAATTTTTTATATGACTTGATAACAATGCTCTTTAAATAATTTTAAATAAATTAAAATGATTTTAGTTTTCTCTATTCTGTCATTCAGATAAAAATTTTAAAATTAAATATCGATTTTCTCTTTTATCAAATACTGTCTATCTCGCTTTTTAACTCTTTCTCGCAATCTCAAAAAATAGAGATAACATCAAGATATGTGTTTTGGGTTTTTTAATTTATTGGTTCATATTCATAAAACCTCAAAGTTAAGATATTAAAATTGATTAGACATATATATAAATTAAAACTATGTATGACTTTAGTAACTTAAACTTGGCTGCGAGTAAGGTAATTAATTAATTATTAAGTATTACATTATTAGTTTTTAGACATTATGTCGGTATTATGAGATTGATTTTTAAGTATTATATGACTTAATCATTATATCTTTAATTTTTAGATATTGCATGATAGGTTATAGGCATTGTATGACTAATTTTTAAACAATACCCAAAAACTAGTCACGCAATACCTTAGTAACTAATCACGCCTTATCAATTATTCACGTAATATTTAAAAATTAGTAATACAATGTTTAAAAATTAGTTACGCAATACACAAAAACTATTTACATAATATTTAAAAATTATCAAAACTACTGAATTTTATTTAACAAAATTAACAACTTCAAATAACACACCATATTTTCTTTAACAATATAATCAACGAATATACCTACTTGGTGAAGAATGCTCAAAATGTTTAAAGGTTTATCTTAATATATCAAAAATCACTCCAAAATGCTTAAAATACTCAAAATACTTAAAAAATTTTCTTTTTAACAAAAAATATTTTAGATATGAATGATCTAGCGAGAAACACTCAAAGCATATGAGTTGATTTGAGGAGCAGAGCATAAACATATAAATCGATTTTATTAAAAATAATTTTGTTTAAAATTAATTTTTTAATTAAAAACAATTAAAATTATAAAAAAATTATTTTTAAAAATATCTTATTTATGCGAAATATTTTTGAAAAGAACCCTTAAAAATATGTTTATTCGCGTGATTTACTTCATTTGATAGTTACTTTTGCCATTTTTGCTACTACTGTGATATAGGATGAGTACAATTCAATGAAACATTGGAATCATTACAGTGCACAATTCCAAATAATTTATATTAGGGAAAATCTATTGAAAAAAAAATTAAAAAAGCACTGTTTATTGAGCGGTATTGTCAGAAGAGTACGAGCATGGGACAAATATGGATGACTACTCATCTAAAACACGACTTTGATGCTAGCAAATTGAGCTTTCCATTGTCGTCTAAGACCCTACTTCTCTTATTTGTCTCTTCTTGCAGGTGACGTATTTGTCTTGTCCTTCGCAGTTCACTGCCCAATCCAAAAATTAAGAAAGAATGCTGCAATTTATCAATTAATGCTAGTTTGGCAGATAGGATAAGCTTTTGAAGATTAATTAATTAATGATCAATTTGTTTATTTTGGAAAATAATTTTGGATTGAAAAGTTTGATTGGTTTTTGTTAGACACAAGAGATTTGAGAGGGTGGCCAAGAATTTAAAGGTGACTAGGCTGTTCACGACGCTGGTGGAGGAGATGAAAGCGATGGGACGTGCGGATGACGAATCAAAATACACGGACGTAATGGCGCCGGTGGCTCACAGCCAGCGGAGCCCCATCCTGCTGCTTATGGGCGGCGGTATGGGAGCTGGCAAAAGCACTGTCCTCAAAGATATACTCAAAGAGTGAGTAGCATAATTAGTATTGTTCAAATGATTACCCGGCATAATTTGGACCTAGTCAAAGAAAAACTAGCTAGAGATATTATAGTATGAAACTAGTTTGCCAAAGACTTTGATTGAACAAAATGGAGCTTAATTAAATAGAGATATTATACTAAGTATATTTGATGTTGTACATGCGGCATTGGCAGACCACTGTGGGCAGGAGCAGCAGCAAATGCGGTGGTGGTGGAGGCGGATGCATTCAAGGAAACCGATGTTATTTACAGAGCTCTAAGCTCTAGGGGTCACCACAATGATCTGCTTCAAACAGCTGAACTAGTAAACCTTCTCTCCAGCACTTCAAATTTTCGCTATTTCCATTCCATTGATGCTTTTAACATCAATTGCCAAAAGTAACCAGGTTCACCAATCCTCCACTGATGCTGCTTCGTCGTTGCTAGTAACGGCTTTGAATGAAGGTCGTGATGTGATCATGGATGGGACTTTATCATGGGAGCCGTTCGTCGAGCAGACAATTGCCATGGCTCGAAACGTTCACAAACACCGTTATAGGATGGGGGTTGGCTACAAGGTGGCCGAAGATGGCACCATTACTGAGAACTATTGGGAGCAGGTCGAAGAAGAGGAGGAAAATCGACACCAAGAAAATGGTGAGACACACAGGAAACCATACAGAATAGAACTGGTTGGTGTGCTTTGTGATGCGTATCTAGCTGTTGTCAGAGGAATAAGGTAAATGGCAGTTGCGAGTTTGAATACTCATCATCTCATTCAGAAGGAATTTGTTTCCCCATTTGGATTGGTTTGATTGGCTTATAAGTTTGGAAGTTGTTGCACAGGAGGGCTATAATGGTGAAAAGAGCGGTGAGAGTAAATTCCCAGTTAAAATCCCACAAAATGTTTGCAACTGCATTTCCAAGATACTGCCAACTTGTTGACAATGCCAGGCTCTATTGCACCAACGCAGTGGGAGGCCCCTCTAAGGTAAAAGCTTACTGATTAATAAGATAAAACTCCATTTGCTAGCATAGTTTAAAGAAATGATTACGATATTTCTTTCACTCTGGATCTCCTTATTGAGGTTATGCCTGCAAACACTAAGGGATAAAGTAAGTAAAATGAAGTGAGACTTTAATACTTTACATGAAACTAAGAATTGTGAGTGTTTTTGATAAACTCGGGCGCCTTGAAAAAGGCCTGTTTACACTTTTCCTATCTCTTCCTTGTCTCGACGTTGTCTGTTCTGCTAACCATTGAATTTTCACCAATGAACTCTTCTTCGTTGAGTAATCTGTGTGTTCTCTCTTGCATGTAATTTGCAAACAAATGCAGTTGATAGCATGGAAAGATGGAGATAACCCGCTTCTGATAGATCCAGATGACATCAAATGCTTGTCAAATGTCCGCAGCTTGAACCCAGGAGCAGAATCTGTGTATGAGCTTTACACAGAGCCAAGTCCAGTACACGAGCCTGGCTCGGTTTGGAAAGATATTGTTTTCTCCCCTTCAAGACCAAACATTCAAGTGGAGCTAAAGACTTGCATTCAAAGAATCGAAAAATCCAACATCCAAACACAAGAATAACATGAACATAATCCACCCCAGCAGGCTATATATGCATATCACAAAAGCCTTGGATTTTTCTTTCAGCTCATGTGCAAAGATTTTCTTGAGGGATAAAATGGTTGTTTCGTTTTCTTTTTGGTTCTTCAGAGGAATTTTATCATGCGTGTGCATCTACCCATCAATTGAAGGTCTACTTACAATTATCAGTGGATTTCTTCTTAATGTTACTGTTATAAAGTGTAGATAAGGCAAATTTGTGCTCCTACTAGATTTAGCGCTAAAAAACATACGAAGCTACGGAAATTCAACACGTACAAATTCATGTGAAGGAAATAAGTTTGGTCGAGAGCATTAAAGCATAACTTTGTGGCAATCTTTTTTTTTTTTGAATAAGTAAAGATTTTCATTGATCAAAACAGGGTGTCTCTGTAATTTACAAAAGAATCTGATTTGAGATAGCAATCAGTTACTAACCTGGCTTACAAAAGCAGCCAAGGCAAGGATAAAACCAGCATATGGTTTCATGAACAGTCACACTTCAATTTACAATCATCCAAAATCTTAAAACGGATAAGAATAGTGGAAGCAGCAAAAGTTCTTCTTTCCGCTCTTTGCTGGCAGAAACAGGAGATCATAAGCCACACTCACAGAGAGTAGGTATCATGCAGGAGAAATATACAATAAATCCTCTGATCTTCCCATGCCATCTTTAGCAAGGCTGTCGACTATGTCATTACACGTTTTGGGAATGTGCTTGATATCCCAACCCAGAAGCTTTGAACTCATTGACTTAATTTGAGAAACAATATGCCGGAACCTCCATGGAACTTCAGAAGGTTTAGAAATCCATAGCATTGCATTCA